AATTAATTTAATCGAATATTTACTAGTTTTTCCTCCACTCCAACAAAAATGGCTAACAGTCTACTGATTTTTACTTTCACTTTCAAAAATTAAACATAATAAAATTGTTACTAAAATCCACTTTATTTTGAGATGAAAAATGTGTGAAAAAATATTCTAAGAAAAAAATATTTTGGTTACTCAAATTAAAAAAGTCTTTAACAAACTAAAATCGTTGACTTTTATATAAATCATAGTTTTTAAATTATGACAAAAATAAACATTTTTATTTTGCCATTTTTTTTCAAAAGATTTCTTATATTTAACTTATACAATGTAGAGTGTTTGCTTTTTTATTACTCTATAAAAAAAAATTTCTTAATGTAAGCATACATTTTTTATATCAAAATCAATATTAAATTCATATAAATACAAATATGTGTATTATTTTTATAACAGAGAATAAAAATATAAATATTAAGATGAACTAAACTGTAAAATGAAAAATAAAACTACACCCAGGCCTCGCTAACGGCCCTCTTTAATTAAGGAACGTTTTCGATATACAGCCTAAAATGTTTTGCTATAACGGCTTTTTTAACTTCGCGTAGGGCAAGTTACAGTAATCGCAAAAAAATCGAAAATGAAAATTTTTATATATCTTTACGTTTCAAAGTTTCAAACGTTTTGGAAAAACTATAATATCAAGGATGCTGTTGAGAACATTAGTGAATCCTGGAAGAAATTGAAATCGACAACAATGAACCATGTTTGGAAAAAAATATGGCCAGAATGTATAAAGACTACCGATGCAAAAGTTAATTTCCTTCCTGAAGTTAGACAAAACATTTTGGATTTAAAACATTATCTCGGATTTGAAGATTTAAACGAATCTGATGTGCTGGATCTACTTGCAGCCTTGCATAGGGAACCCCTTTCGAATGAAGAACTCATTCAGTTGCAAGCAGAGCCGGCATATGATGAAGATACAGAACCTGTTGTATCCAAACAGCATTTTTTTTTTTTTTTTAAATTTTTATTTTCAATAGCAATCAGAATACATGACTATTCTATGAGCTTTTTGGCTTATGTCATTCACTCACACACATTCACACACACTTGCAAACACACATATAAATTTATCGGATCAATATTACAATCATATTTAGAGAATCACTTCAATAAATGATTCAATTATTCTGTTCATATTATCTAAGGTTCCTCCATATTATCTTCGGGCAGCTTCTTCTTCAGTCTTCTTGAAGTTGATGTCTCAAGAAGCTGAGAGACTATATGGTTTGAATGATGTTGTAGTTTTTGAAAATGTTTTATACTGTTGATTTGTATTATTTTGTTTATAAAATGAATATGAAGATCGTCGTGTAAAGTTTTGTTACTAACAAACCACGGAGCATCAGTAATCTGCCTCAACATTTTCGATTGGGCATGTTGCATTAACGCTATGTTGGATTTGCTTGCACAGCTCCACAATTCAATGCCATAAGTCCATATGGGTTTTATTATTGCCTTGTAAATTAGAAGTTTATTGTCAATCGATAAAATTGACTTGCGTCCCAGTAGCCAGTATAGTTCAGCGGTTCTAATTTTTATAGTCTTTAATTTGGCGCGAATATGGTCCTTCCACGTGAGCCTGCGATCTAAATGCATACCTAAGTATTTGACGCATTCGGTGCTTGGAATTGCTTGGCCATAAAAATATACTCCTGGGCATGTTGTCTTGTTCAGTGTAAATGTTATATGATTAACATCAAAAATCATGTCGAGCGCTTTTTTATATTTTGACCGAGGAATAAACATCCTCCTTGAAAACGATCCTAAAGTCGAACGTAGCGCTAATGTGTCTCGAGGAATTAACTCAGCCATTTGCTGTTATAAATCACTAAAGGAAGAAATAGACAAGAAGGCAAGACAAACAACTTTAGACAAATTTTTCAAACCACCAGCGCAAAATGATGGTGACAGTGATCTGTTGGTTTTAGTTGTTTCATTTTTATTTAAAAATTATTTCATTTTATTTAAAATTTATGTTCTTGTTAAATATGTTTATGATTTAAAACAGAATAAAAAAATAAAATGCATTTTGAATGATAAACCACATTATATATTCATTCAATTTGGAACCGATTCCATTGAATTTGTATGAATACGTATTAGAATAATTGATTCGTTATACGGCTTTTCGCTTTACGGCCAAGTTTTGCGGAACGTATCTAGGTCGTAAAGCGAGGCCCCAGTGTAGTACTGTATGGCATCGTGCCTTAAGGCAAATTGCTGGAACTTCCCGTACCGTAACAAAATGTTCGAGGAATATTAAATGTTCTCAAATAGATTATTATAAATATTGTAACATTGTCTAATATTTAAAGGAATTATATAAAGTGAATTGCAAAGTTGAAATTATTTATTTAGACTATATAATTGATCTTTAGAACTTTAACCAAAATTAAAATTAAAATCTGAATTATTTTCGATATACAAAACAAAATTTTTGATTTAAAAAAATGGAAAAAAATGGCCAAAAGCAATTATTTTGTCAAAACAAGCAGAAAGTTCTTTGAATCAGTCAAATCGTACGCTTAGTTCTCTCAAAAACTGCCATTTTTGGCACATTTAGCTCGGTATCTCAAAAACGGCTGGTCCTGCCTCTCTCAAAAACTATTCACCTTTTCTCTCAATCATTACAAATTGAATGTTTTTTAGATCATTCAAATCCGATTCTCCGTTCTTTCAAAAACTCGATTTCTATTTTCTGCACTATTTGCTCCGTATCTCCGTAACTGCTTGACCTGCCTTTGCCAAAAACCAATCAGCACATCTCCCTATCAATAGAAATCGAATGTTTTTTGAATCATTCAAATCGGTTCATCCTTACGTCCGAAAACGTGGACTAAATTTGTATGCATACACACACATCCATTTTTTCTGAGATATGCCAAAATGTTTAGAAACCTTCAGAACGTGATGATATGCAAAAATTTTCATTTTCGATTTTCTGACGATTATTATAACTAACCCTACGGTAAGTTGATAAAACACAATAATCTGTGCTCAAAGTTTTTATTGATTTTCTTCAATTACTATAATTTGATTTGTAGTATTATTTTAATTCTTAGGTGATACAAATATTTTAATCATAATAGTGTGTCTATAACTAATATATTTTTTTAAGATTATTTCTAATTTAAATTGTTATTTAAGAAAACATGCACAATTTCCACTGCTATCGCAGTAACCTCCTTTTGGCAAATTGCATTTTTTCTGACATTGTGAACTGCAACCTCCTGATAAACTTCTTCCATTACTAGTGCAACATCCTGGACAAGGTTTAGGATAAAAAACATCAGCTATAATAAAAAAAATTACATGAAGTTACACTTACTTACTTACTTTAAGTTACACTTCAATATAATGAATAAAAAATCTTATTAATATTAATAACAATATTTCTAACCTAAATCTATCAGTGATTTTAAGAGTGGTCTGTATAGACTCATATAATTGTCAATTTCACATTTTAATAATTTTATCAATTATTTTAATTTATTTCAGAAAACTGTGTTTTCAGGATTTATTTAAATAGTTTGTAATTAGAGAAGATAAAAATTTCATTAAAAATTGAACTGGTAAATTTTTATAATACTAGTTGTTGAGATATATGTAGTTATCCGAGTCCAAATATATATGTATATATATATATATATATATATATATATATATTATTATTATTATTATATTTACTTTGTTGTCCGCTGCATGTTCCATAAGTCTTCATATTACACTCAACGATTTCTTCTATAAATAATAGAACCAAAACAAAAGTAATTAATTTCTTCATTTTTTATTACTATAATTCCAAACTATTTTAAAACTATATTTAATAAAACTTCACTGAATTATTATATTGGAAATCATATATAATAATAACTTCCCAAACAATCTCCAAAACATAATGATGAAGAAATGACGTTGAGTAATTTGAAATAAACTAATATTTGATTTTGTTGAGAAATTTTTGAGATATTGACGCATATATTTATTAATTTCGATACACGTATATATATAATAAACTAGCTGGAAATAAACTTCTATATGATTTCTTCGTCAAAGTTTCTAGAAAGGCTCCTTAGAACCAAAATAGGAATGTTCAAATAAAAATAAATAAAAATTTTACGTTTTTAAATCATGCATTTATTTAGTAATATTTATAATTTATTTAATTCCTCAAATGAGAATAATCTTCTCTTCTAGGAGCTTTTTTTGATCCATCACACATACAATTTTTACCACTGCAATAACCTCCATCTACTTCACAAGATTTTGTGCAAAAATTATCACATTTACTATTTTGATTATTTTTACAAAGTCTTCCACCATCATTTATAGGAAAATAATCTTTTGGAACATCGATATTTTTTGGACCACTGGGTGCTGAAAAAATAACAAAACTTTTTTTGGTCTTCAATAAAAAAACAAATCAAAATAAATATAAATTTAATATTCATTTGTTTAATTTAAAACCAATCTTTTAAAGTTACCATAGAAAAATTGTGAGCCTCCAAAACGTAAAAATAATTAAAAATTAAAATTGAATAACTAACTAAAAAATTACAAACTTTAGTGAAATATAAACAAACTTATCAATAATAAAATTTAAAACCAAAACATATTTTTAAAATAAATTTTAAAAAAATAATTTAGTGAAGTTAAATTACTGGTTAAACAAAAATTAAAGATATTATTAGTTGAACATTTTAAACATTTGCAAAAAAAAATTAAGAGTTTTTAACAAATAAAAAAATTTAAAAATTAATATAGGTTTTATTATTCTTGTTACAATTTTAAATCAATATTCTTTTAAAGAAAAATGTTAGATTTCCTCAATAAAATTACTATTAAATGTGTTTATTTGTTAATATATATCTATATATTTGTTAATATATCTATAGATATATTTTAATATAATACTGAGATTTGTTAATAAATATATTTTTAATATAATACTAAGATTTGTTAATAGATGATTTTTAATATAATACTGAAATAACTTACAAGTACTATCACCTCCATTTTTGCAATAAGAAGTAACTTTTAAACTTGAACAAATTTGCAAAATTACAAAAATTACAAAAAGTGCACAAAAATGCTTCATTTTAATAAAAAATATTTTCGAACTAAATAGAAAAAATGTGAAACTATTTAAAAACCGTGTTTATTACCTTGTTGATGTTTTGCTAAAAAAAACAATTTTTTTGAAGTAATTACAAAATTGTACATAAATTTCACAATTGCAATTTTGGCTTGTAAATATTTGATATATTTATATTTGTTTTGTAAATAGTTTTTGGCAAAAATTAATTAATAATTTGTTTATTGAGTACAAAAATCAATATTTAAAATAAAAATGAAATTAATATTTATTTTATTGGGTACTTTTATTTTGGCAAATTGCGAAAAAAAAATTTATAAAGTTAGCGAATTTTGTTTGACTGGATCAGGAAGTAAGAATATATAAATTATTGAATTTTGATATATTATATAACAAAAATGATATAGAAATCTTTTGCATTTATAAATTACTAATTTATTTAATACGTAATAAAAATATAATATATTTAATTATTTAATTAATAGCACAAAAATACAAATAACTATTTATTCAAATAAATCAAATTATTGAAACTAATATACAAAATTAAATGATTAAATAAATTATCGATATCAGAATTAGTTTGATTCTTAAAAATTTTGGTATATTTTTTATTTACATTGTTTTCTAAAGAAGTTTTTGTGCTTTTGAGATTTATCATAATACAGTTTCTACTAATATCTATTTAATTTTTATAAAATTTTATTGAAGGTACTGAAAAAACTACCAAAAAAGTAGCTGATGACTTTTTTGCAACACAAGCCAAAGATTTATGTCCAGATAATGTAAAATTTCTAAAAAATGGCGAAAAAGAAATAAAAACCTACAATGATATTTTAAAATCAAAATGTGCCAAATTTTGTTTCGAAAATTGCAAATCTTTGGTCGGTTTTTGTGGAGACGAAGAATTTAAAAAAGATGGATTTGAAAATGAAAATATTTGTTATTGTGGTTTAAGTTCTGAACATTATGAAATATCAGATGAATATAAAAAAGAAAACGATTAATTTAAATATCAAATTGTTTTTTTATATCTCAAAGAATTTATACAACACATAAAAAATTAATATTAAAGCCTATTACTTAATATATTACTTATTCAAATATTGAGATCTATAATTATTGAGCCATAAATAATTATTAGAATTCTAATATTAAGTTTCTAAATTCTAATGTTTGTAATTTGCAAAAATGTATTAAAATATATAACATAACTATTTTATTTATCATACAAGTATATTAAAAAATATATTCTCCTAATTACAAAAAGCTATAGTTAATAAAAACATGTCCTTCATTAATTTTAATGCAAAAATAATTTATAAACTCATTTTATATTCTTCATATATTTATTAATTTATTCATGTTATTTTTTTTACACAACTTATAATAAATTATTTTATTCAATTTTCTACGATTCAACGATTTTTACGAATATACAGTATTTAAAAATATATAAATTTATTCTTATATTTGATTTATAAAAAAATATTATTTTAATAACAATTAACTTTTAAACTTGTACAAATTTGCAAAATTAAAAATAGAAACAAAATAATATATAAAAGTATTCAATTTTATCAATATATCTTCAAAGAAAATTCTAATTTAAAAATTATCAATTCATATATTATTATTTTAAAAAATTTGTATAAGATTCTTACAATATCCTTACTTTTATTAAATTCATATTGGATTCTTACTAGATTTTCATAGGATTCTTCAGGTTGCTATTAGGATTCTTATTGTATTTTGTAATGTTATTATAAAATTATTATTTAATTCACCTTCCACCTACTTTTCTTAATTTATTCCTTAAAATATTATTCTTTCAAAAAGTAAACCTTTTTTTTTAAATAAAATTATGTATAATAATATTTTTAAGTAAACAAATGTTTTGAACAGATTCAATAAATATTTTATCTATTAAAACATGCTTTTCAAAAAATAATAAAATATGTAATAGAATTATTCTTATATCGTTTAATAGATAATTTGAAAATGGTTAAATTAATTTATCCAAAAATATATTCCAAAAAAACTCTTGTGTCCAAAGTTATTACCAAATTTTCTGCGCGCATTTCGAAATTTGTTTTTGTAAATATTTTGCGAATTGTGTATTGCAGCAAATAACTTTTTGACAAAATTACTAAAGGAAATTGTTTATTAATTTCACTTTGATATTTTGTCTTATTACATTTGTTAAAAATGAAGCTATTAATTATTTTATCAGCATTTTTTCTTCTGGCTTGTTGCAAAGAAAAAAGATCTTTTAAAGTTAGCGAATTTTGTTTGACTGGAAAAGGAAGTAAGATGTATTTTTATTTTTAATAATTATTTATTAAATAACTGATTTAAAATAACTTATAAATCCTTTAATAATTAAATTAGTTCATTAAACTTTATTAAAATAATAAATAAATAACATATTTATATAAATCTATTATAACATCTTTAATTTATATAATTAGTAGCAAGTTTCTTAAACATCAGAATCTACTAATTGTTTTACGAATTTGTTTAAATTTAATACAATTATTTACTTCAATTTGTATTAAAGTATTAAATTTGTATAATTATTACTTTAGTTTAATCGATAAAATCAAGTTCTCAAGACTAATTTGCTAATATTAATAAAATGTAATACTAAATTAAATTACATGCAAATTTATTACTAAATTAAATTACATGCAGAGTTATTGAAATTCTGAAATTTTTTTTTTAGCTCTTGGGATAAATTTTTATTCGCCATTTTTCAAACTAAATTTTGGCTTCAATTCTCAAAATAACTGATTTCTTTATAATTACTTTTGCAATAAATTTATTAAAGGTACTGAAAAAAATAATGAAAAACACGATGATGTTTTTCCAACACAAGCCAAAGATTTTTGTCCAGATGATGATGATGATGATTTTCCAGAAAATGGCCAGAAAAAAGTAGATAATTATAATTCAATGTTGCATTCTGATTGTGCAAATTTTTGTCGGGAAAATTGCAAAACTTTGATTGGATTTTGTGGACATGAAGATTTTCTAAAAGATGGATATGGAGATGAAAGTACTTGTTATTGTGCTTTTAGTTCTGAACATTATGAGTTAGCAGAAAATTTTGAGGATTAAATTAATATTTATATTCTTTTCTATATAATATTATTTTTTATATTTTAATAAATGTATGTACTTTATAAAAAAAATTAATGTTAGGGCTAATAATCTATTATAAATAATCATTCTACTTTGCTAAAAACATTGAAATATTTTTTTTAATTATAAACTAATAATAAATTATAAATATAATATAATATAAATACAAAATAGAATAGAAATTAGAATTGTTTTACTTATCGTAGTTTAAAAAATCGGTAACAAAAAATAAATTTACATATTTTCATTTTTTCATTTATATTAATTATATTTTTTATTAAGTGCCAGAATAAATTTAATATGATATTGAACCTTTTAACATAAACTTTAAAACTACTATTATTTAATATAATTAGTTTTATTACCTATTCTAATTTTTTACGATAATCAGTAGAGCCGTTTCTTAAGAATTAGCTGAAAGATATCCCAAATTTATTTTAAAATAAATAAAAACTATTTGAATGCATTTTAATAATAGCTAGATGTCAATTCCTTTTAATTTTTACAACTTTCCTTGAGGCAGATTGCCACTTGCTTCCAGTTCTATTTTCTTATTTATATGTCAATTTATTTCAACATTTGTTTATCATTTAATTTAAATTTAGATCCTTGTTTTCCAAAATATAAATAAACATTTCGTAAGTTGTGAAATTTTTGCTTGTTTTGGTAATTTATCGAAAAATGCGCTATTAGTTTATATTAAAAACATAATTGCATCACTTCGTTTTACGAATTAAGTATTAGGTTTTAAATTAATTTAGTGTTAAAATAATTCTGTAGACTTTTGTATTAATTCTTAGTAAATATGAAGTTTTTATTGATATTGATATTTACTGTTTTTGTGATACATCAAGTGTCATCAGATAAAATATATAGAAATATAAGTGAAGAATGCTCCAAAGGCAATTATGGTAAATATGAACAAAACTTTTGCAAAAGTTCCATAATTTATTGAATTATTGCTAGAATTAAAACCTGAAACCTTTTACATTTTAATTTTTCAATTCTTCTCAACTGTTATTATATTTCTAGAGTAATGTACATTAAAAATTACTTTTCTCATGTTTTTATTAATTCTCTCTTAAAAATTGAGGGTCGTTTTTCGGTGATTTTTTTGAATGTACATATTTGAGAAATATATTTAGTTTATATATACTTTGTTCATTTAGCTGTAGATTATGATGATGTTAGAGATATCTATGGAATGTGTCAAGATGGAAATAGTACAAGTTGTGAAGAACATTGTAAAGAAAATTGTGGAACCGATTATGGAATGTGTAATTATCATGCCGATGGAAAAAAAAGTTGTCGTTGTTTTGGATATAAAATGACACGCCCGAAAGCATTTTAATAAATATTGAAGTAAATAATAATATTTAAACAATATTTTTGTAAAATTTTAGTACAACGTTTATTTTTTAGCATTTTCAATACTTTATAATGAATTTCATTTATTAAATTATAAACAAAATGTATTATTAGTGATAATTGTGAGTGAAATTAATAACGAAATTTATATTCAATTATAGTTAATTGAAATGGAAAAATTGTGAATTATAATTATTTCTTTTAATATACAATTTAATATATTTTTGTAAATTTAAAACTTAATTAACAAATATTTCATTAATAATATGTAATTGTGATTTGATACTTTAAATTTTTAATAAAATACTGAAATTTGTTAATTTAAATTTACAGACTTTATTTACGATAAAGATACTTTTGATAAAGAAATAAATTTGATTGCCAAAGATATTATTGAATTTTTATGAATTATAAATTAAGAATAAAAAGTTAATAAACATGCTATTTTTGTTAATTATCTCTTCATTATACTCAATTTTCATCTAATTATTCATCAACTCAGTTTTTAATCA